TATCTATCATCATCCGAATCATCCATCCATCCATCCATCCATCCATCCATCCATCCATCTATCTATCTATCTATCTATACTCCATTTGGCAGTCTGTATCAATCTACTTTAAATCATAAGTACTGGACACGCTGTATGTTTGTACATGTCGGTCTGCATGATACAGTTTTTCTCAGTCGCTTTGGTGCATTTCTCGACTCATCCTTAATATTTGCAAAGAAGTATGCATTTCTCAAACAATTCATACAAACAGCACCACACAATGGATTACCTGCAAAAGCCTGTAACTTACTCAAAATCTTTAAATCTGCCATCAGAATGAAAAGCCCTTGTCTCATTGTTCACAAACAAGATAGTCAAAATGCTTAGTCATGTTGTCAATATAACAGTGCACTCTGTTAGTATTACCTGATGTAAACTATGGCAGCAGTTTGGATGACAGTTACTGTATTGAAATGCAGAAGGTTGTACTTCTTATGTATGCCATATATCCATTTCAAAAGTTCAAATTTACATATTACTGTATGTGGGATATTGATTGAAAGAGACTGGATAGGATTCACAGTTACACTATACTAGTGGTCTGACAAAAACAAACAAAAAAACATTACAACGTCATTGTGATATAGAAAAGAAATATGGGCACAAAGGCGAAAATACAAAATTAGAAAGGCAAACACAGGAAACACTTCTTGCTTTTGCATGCAGCCCTGTATGAGGAATTGCACTGCACCTCCTGACGTGCCAATTCTCATCTACATGACAACGAATATCTTCCCTTGCAATGCAATGTGGACTGGAGTCAAGTGAACCATCTCACAACTTCATGTATGTGGATGAGGCTGGCTTCAGCCTGACCAAAAGCAGAAGGCGTGGTTGAAATGTCATCGGCCACAGAGCTACTGTTGATTTACCGGGCTAACGGGAATTCGTAACTCTTGTGTTGTCCTCTGTCTATATATGCTTTCCAATTGAAGGTTCATGAGATGCACCTTTGAGCTATTTCTGAGAACTGGTTTATCTTTAGCTGATCTACATTCTCTTCATTAGTGAAAGTCAACATTCACCTGCTCAATTCATGGCAAACTTACACAAAGTCTAATAGAAATGTGTAGAAAATATGCTTGAGAGTTTATGACAACTAGATCAACCATTTTGCATTTAATGACTTATACGATGAACTAATGCCGAGATGTTTTGGGGGGTAAGACTTTTGCACAGAGAACTATATAGTACATTTTGAGCAACATGACCGCAGATAAATGTACATAATCAATTGCATGAATGTACTAAAGCAATCGCAACTTGTTCAAAAGAATGAGAAACTGCTTTTATGATGTGCACAATTGACTAGATGATGTGGAGGTTGAACAAGTACCGGTAGTTTTCAGAATTTAATTTCTGATCTGAGAAATGCACCAAAACGACTGAGAAAAACTGTAAATGAAGCTGATATGTGCTCTGATGCACAAGCAGAGGGATGCCGGTGTTTTGAGGCTGTAGCTGTATGTGAGCTGACTCCAGCCTGATCATATTAAGAGTTTTAGAGCTGAAGCACGTCAGCTGCACGTGTGGCCGCTGATGCCAAACACACCTCAGTCATTTAAACAATAAAAAAAAATCCTTAAATGCTTCATTTCACAGTATGGCAGTGATAAGTGATAGCAATGTCTGACTGACTGCATCATAACAAATATTCACCACACATAATCCTGCATCATGAATAATCCAATCACTAGTTTATGCTACATAAATGTTTATGACCCACTTTAAAATAGGCTGTAATGTTAACTTTAACAATGAAGCATATGCTTACAAAGACCAGAAGTATCAATCTATCTATTGACCAATCTATGACACAAACGCTTATGCAAAATACAAATAATTTCACAGGTAGGCTAATAAACATTTTCTGGGTAATGTGCGCAATACTTTTCAGCAACGTTGGATGCAAAAATGACATGGTTTATTTCTGTCCATTTCTGTAGCTGGATGTGTAACACAAGTACCCTTACGAAAAAGAAGTTTATTCAAGTGTGCTATTAAGTATACTTAAAAATATACTTGAACTTTACTTAAGTATACTTACTAAAATAAACTTGAAGTATACTACTTTTTGGTAAGGGTAATCCAAAATATCATAGCAGGCACTGCGTCTCGAAATCTGATTGGTCGAATTTAACCCCTCCTTAGCAACGCGCATTTGTGTGGTGGTGTGGCACGTGGTTACTAGGCAATGTCCCTTTAACTTTTACCCTGAAGTTTTTAGCGATGGAACAACGTGCACAGAAACTCTAGCACACTATAATTGCAAAAGATAAAGGAAAACTGAAGGACACGAACGTCCGTGAGATTCAGCTGTTGGAAATGATCATGTTTTTAAGTCACTTTGCGTTCGGAAGAGATTTAGAGGATTTGCTGTCTATATTCGACACACGAGAGCTTATGGGACACAGAAGTGGGTTATAGCAAGACTGTGTTTACTTCTGTGTAAATAACGGATTTACTTTTAAATACATTTAATTTCAAACCTCAGGAACATAACAAAACCCTTTGGAACGAAACGCGTGGCAATATTTTAACATCCTAAAGTTTCAGTATTGAATAAAATGGGAGATGACAATGAGCTGCTCGGAGCATCTGAGTTTATCAAAGGTAATATTAAATAAGTTGAATAAGTTAAAAAATAGTTTCGTTTATATTAAATAAAGGTTGAAAGGCAACCTATTTTCTAATCTGCTTAATCCATGTGTAAATGTCTTATTACATCAATATCCTAGCATATGTTGCACTCTGTAATACATTTCTTGAATGTATTAAAACTATCTTAACAGATCGTGTACATTCAGATATCAATGGAATAAAATACAGTATATGGTTTAAAGTGGCTTGCCATTTTGTGATGTTAATGTAATAAATTTGTTAATGTTGTTACAACTGAAATTAATTATATTTATCTTCAGAATGTAGTCCAATTATCTAAAATAGAGAGACTGTGTTTCCAGATATAAGAGATTTAGATGTGATTTACCATCATTTAGCTATTTTATGACTCGATCTGTATACTGCTGTATTTTCTTTCAGATCGTCTGTATTTTGCTACTCTTAGAAGCAAACCCAAAAGCACAGCAAACACACATTTCTTCTGCACCGATGATGAATTTATTTATGAAAAGTGAGTCCTCAGGTTTTGGCACACTTAACTATTACATTTTGGATTGTTATAGCTCATATTTGATTGTTATACTTCATGACAAGTGGTGATTTTATGGTTCATTTCTGTCACAAGCTTTTATGCAGATTTTGGGCCCCTCAATCTGGCAATGCTGTACAGATACTGCTGCAAACTGAACAAAAAACTAAAGGTAAATTCATCTTCTTTGAATCGAATGGCTCCATGTTTGCATTGTTCATCTAACTTACTGATCAAATATATTCATTTTTATCTTTGAATTGATTCGTAATCACTTTTTAGTAAGTAAAGTAAGTTGGTTGCCTAAAAACAAAACTTTTAGTTTTAGTTTTAGTTTTAGTTTTCCAAAAGTCAAGGCAAAATCCCATGGTGAAGCGCTTTGATATACATATGAATATATAAGAATATATGAATCTTAGATAACAGATATTTGAAAATACCTTTCCTGGAAAATCCTTTGCAAATATAGGTAGGTTAAATCCGGGCCCAGCATTACAAAGTGAATGAAAATGACCCTTAAAGGGTTAGTTCAGTCAATAATGAAAATTAGGCTGCGTTTCACTCACCCCCGAAGCATCCTAGGTGTATATGACTTTCTTCTTTCAGACGAATCCAGTCGGAGTTATATTAAAAATTGTCTTTGATCTTTCAAGCTCTATCGTTGTACTCAGCGGGTGTTGCAGTGCTTCGGTTCAAAAGACGTGAAATAAAAAGCACCCTTCCACAAAAAAAAAGTGTCTCACGCGGCTCCGGGGGGTGAACAAAGGCCTCCTGTAGCGAATCGATGCGTTTTTGTAAGAAAAATATCCATATTCAAAACGTAATAATCACTTGAATCTAGCTTGCGCTCACTGTTGTAAACGGAAGCAGTTCCGGGGGAATTACGTATGAGGTCAGCGTTGCGCATGCGCCGCTCAGAAGTGACGCACGAGGAAGTAACGTAACGCATTACTTTCCATAAAAAGTAACTAAGTAACGTAATTAGTTACTTTTTTTATGAAGTAACGTAATATTGTAATGCATTACTTTTAAAAGTAACTTTCCCCAACACTGCTCATGTATAGAGATTTGTTTGCTAGACTGTTTAATGAGGCACACAGAGTTCATGCAGTGAGCAGTAGAGAGCGCTCTATACACGTCTGTATAATGCCGGGACAGAAGTTTCTGGCATGAATGATTGAACTTCAATGACTGTCTGTGTCTGGAGCTGACAGATAAAGGGGTATGGCTCATGTTCAAGGTGTTTCTCTGCAGTGTATATGTGTGTCTTTATAATATGAAGTGAGCTGAAAAGGTATGTGAATATCTATCTAAGAAAAGTCTGTGAAAGGTCCAGTGTACTGTTTTCTGTATACTTTTTCGAATTATGTATTGCTTTGTGTTGTGGAAAATTTAAGGAAATGTCCATAAATTGAACAGAAAAGCTGCTGGTAATTTTGTTCTTGGACAAGTTTCAGGTGCTAGGTTTTTCTACAATTCTTGTCTTCCAGTGTAAGCCGCACATAAAACGTCACATAAAAGTTTTTTATTACAAGTTTATTGAGTTATAGTAATGGTACAAATTATGGTATACCTATAGAGCTCTATAGAGCTTTTCTCAGAACTAAAATAACTTGTCTTGTTTAAGTTTTAACCAATTAGCAGTTTGGTGATTTTTAGTTTATGAAATCAGCAGAGGATCCATGATCTGCTAAAAGTCTGATACCCTTTGCTTTCATTCTGAGCAATATAACATTGTTTGATAGTTTTAAACCTAATTTCTTTTTGTTAATCTTTCTTTAAAATAGATAACACTGGGTTTGGTATTGAGTTTCCTGATGCAGTTGCATTCATACATTTTAAAGTCTGGTGTAAATGTCTAAATACTTTTTGGGGCCATTCTATGTAGTGTAATTGGCCCTGATTCTTTGTATGAATAATTAACCATTTTTATGAAATAAATAACAACAAAACTCCAAATTGGCTTAAATCTAATTAAATGTAATAAAAGGTATTAAAGGAACAGTTAACCAAAACATTACAATTCTGTCATCAATTACTCATTCTCATGTCGTTGCAAACCTGATTTTGATATATCTGACATATTTTTGTAGGCCAACATCAAAGTTAGCATTAACTTGGTTCCCACCACAAAAACCCAACAGTATTTTTCCATTAGCTTTTGGATTATTGCAGAAAATAAACTAAATATAGTTTTGATGCTTACATGTTCTGTTCATGTAATCATGATAATCTTTGCAAACTTTTATGCATTTTGAAGCTAAATGTAGACTATAAACAAACCCCACATTGCATTACTTTAATTTCACCACCATTAAGCTTCAACAACTCTTTCAGACTTTATTTTAAAATGCATTTATTTAAAAAGTTTGAGTTAGAAGAGACAAGAAATGGTAAAAGTTTTTTTTTTTTTTTGAGTTATTTTTTTTGAAGCTAAATGTAGACTATAAACAAACCCCACATTGCATTACTTTAATTTCACCACCATTAAGCTTCAACAACTCTTTCAGACTTTATTTTAAAATGCATTTATTTAAAAAGTTTGAGTTAGAAGAGACAAGAAATGGTAAAAGTTTTTTTTTTTTTTTTGAGTTATTTTTTGTAATAAAACATGAAAATATCTTGAACTTGAATTAACCACAGACTTCATTTCAGGCATTTCACGAGTTCACATGTGCATACTGTAAATCAGGCGGGGTAAAGAATAGGCATATTTAGGGAAGGGTTAAGCTGAGATATGACCCAAACCCAAAGTACTCCCCCAGACTTCCTTGGCTGGGTATAGGAGCCAGTTGGGGTAGCGGAGGGATGCTGGAAAACAGTCGTTGAATGGAGGTGAAAAACAGCTATATATCGGTTGGACAATCTGAGCATGTTCCTTCCAAATTTGGTTAAAATAAACTAACCCATGCAGTCAAAAAACCCATTGACTTCAGGATGATTGAAGCTGATTGGTTGGGCAATCTGAACATGTTCCTTTCAAACTTTAAAATAAATGACCAAAAAGCAATTAAAAAAACCCTTTGACTTCAGGACGATTGAAGCTGTTTTGGCTTACAAAAATAAGTAATCCCTGCAGCACTCTACAGACAGAATGTCTACACATTTCCGTACAGAGAAAGTGATAGAAAGTGACAGAAACTTACATAAAGACACCATGAAACAGTCCATATGGATCATGCACTATATTCTTTTGCTTTCTTAAACAGAGTGGTATAGAGTTCTCAAATAATACCATATTTTCTGTGAGGGACAGAATTAAATCTGTTTTTCATTTATTCAATTTAAATATGTGTATGTTCAAACTTTACACATTATTGGATGAAAAGCAGCATTCTCCTTTAGTGTTTCATAGAAAAGTTATACAGGTCTAGAACAAGTGTTTTCATTTCTTGATGAAATATCCCTTTAACCAGCACAGCTCTGAAAATGAATGTGTGTTGTGTAACTTGTGTATGTCTGCAGTCTTTCACTCTGTCCAGAAAGCGCATCATCCATTACACCAGTTACGACCAACGAAAGAGAGCCAATGCGGCCTTCCTCATCGGCGCTTATGCGGTGAGTCCAGCTCTGTTTCTATGACCTTAGAAGATGATCATTTTGTGGATTTTAACCATCACGTTTTAGGGTTTGAGAGACCCCAGACAATAAGAACAAACTGATTATGAACAGTGAAAAACAAGAGCTATGTAGACCCAGCTGACCTCGTTTTAGAGCCTCCCGGAGAAATTTCTAGTCATGACGTCTCGCTTCTGTGTGCAGGTAATCTACTTAAAAAGAACTCCAGAGGAGGTGTACCGGGCCCTGATCTCTGGAACCAATGTGTCATACCTGCCCTTCAGGTGAGAAGCTGCTCACACGATCTGACACAAGCATCACAATCTGATCTGATCACGTGTCATCATGCTACTCATACCTCATTACTATAGCTTTGTATATTACTGTATCACTACTGTTCAAAAATTTGTGTCAGTAAATAATAATAATAATTTGAGAGAAATTAAAACCTTTATTCTAAATGGATGCATTAAACTAATCAAAAGTGACAGTAAAGAATTAAAAAAATCTACTTCAAAATGTTGTTCATTTGAACTTTCTGTTCATCAAAGAATCCTGGAAGAGTTACATGGACTCCACATATATATTACACAGCAAAAACGGTTTTCAACATTGATAATACCTCATCAAGGCTGTATTTATTTGATCGGAATTACAGTAAACAAATAAGTTCACTAATATTGTGAAATGTGAGAAATGCTGCAAGCAGAGTGATACAAACGTTGAAACTGTTGGAGTTCTGTTATCACTAGAATATTGCACTGCTGGAAAAGGCTCTCAGCCAATCAGATTCGAGGACCAGAAATAACTGTTGTATAAAAAAATGACCTTACTGACACCAAACTTTAGAATGGTAGTGTGGGTAATTTTGAGGAAGCACTGCACGCATGCGCACGCACACACACACACACACACACACACACACACACACAAACACACACAAATATTTAATCATACATTCACAAAAAATCTTTTTTTTTTTTTTGCAATGAACATTCTTTATCTTCTATTTTCTTTTTTCTTACCATATAGAGATGCTGCTTTTGGGAACTGCACATATGATTTAACCATATTAGACTGTTTACAAGGAATCCGCAAGGTACGTGTATTGAAGGGAAGCGTTTGTTATAAAAGCACAATCCGTTTTAACTATTAATATTTAGGAAGGTTAAAGTTTGTGAAACTCTTAAACTTTTTTTGGATCAAGGCTGGACAGCAGTGGCGTAGCGTCTGGGTATGCAGGGTATGCAGGTGCATATGGGCCCGGGCAGATTGGGGGCCCGCCGAGCTGAGGGGAACTTTTAATTGAAACGAGGAAATTAATTTCCCTGCAATTTCCCTGAATTTCCCTTGTCCGACAGCTTATCAGAATTCGAGTCCGACTGGAGCCCGTGTCTTTTTTCTCTCTCTCTCTTCCCCATTACACAGCTGCTGTTGCTGCCATTCAAATAGTTTCGTTTCGGTTTTTAATGGCAAAGTGGTTATATTTCTTTTTGTTTCTTTATTAAGTTAATTTAGAAATATGTTTGGAACATTTTATGTTTGTTAAATTCAGGTTTTTGTTTTTTAAAGGAGCGGCCAAGCAGCCAGCGTCAGACAGTGAGTTGAGCATATGTTTGATCAATTTAGCCTTCTCAAATCAACACGACGACTTGCCTAAAATAAAATCTATAGACATAAAAGACTTTGTGCATTTCACAGTATTAAGTTAAACATTTAACCTAGAAAAATATGTGCTGTTAGGCGCATATCCAATCATTTGTGCGGAGAGTGGAAGCTGAATCGCGCTTTGCAGGACATGGGAGGCGCCAGTGCGATAACTTGCATTTTTTTAATAACAGTGGAAGCTTAAAAATATGCCGTAATTTTTGCACATAAAGGTAATAGTATACCTAATTCGGAACTGCAAAGTCTACTTTTATTTGGGTGCACTCACAATATCAACAAAACCTTGTGCTTTTGTAAAATAAGGAAAACAAACGCTTTCTGATGCACTTTCTGTCATCTCTGTCTTGAGCAGGAGCGCCTCTCAATGATGAACTGAAACTCAGCGAATACTTGCCTTACCGACATGATAAATATATCTATATAATGCTTTAAATTACTATTTTAAAACGAAATAATTCAAATCAAAAAACAAAAACTCTTTCATTATGTAATCCGTAAAGATGCATTTCTCTCTAAAGGCACGTCCAATGAGGAGATGGCGAGTCAGGTTCGTCAAATTCATCTTTGCGACTGACTCAGAAAACACTAGTTTATTAGCAAATAATTAAAATATCCCCTCACTATTTTTTACTTTTTTGTTTGTTTTTTATTTATTTTGTTTGTTTGTTTTTTGGGCCGCTGTGCCAAAATTGTGTTTGCATTCAGTAGCTACAAATAGCCTATGGCAGCATTTTAGTGCCACGGTGAAAAATAACTAAATAAATAAGATTAACGTCATAATATTTTAAGAATAAAGTCAAAATTAAGATAATAAAATCATGTTATATTGCGTGAAGTTAATGTGAAAATTCCACCTATAGGCTACTACGCCGAAAAAAAAAGTCTGTAGCATCCGTCATTCTTCACATTTAACATAAAAAACAGCAATAAAATGTAGACTTGTTGACTTTTTTTAAAACTCTGATTGATCGATTTCATGAGACATTCGTTTGTATTAAATTCTTCAGATTTTTTTTCAAGCATGCATTCAGATATTCATTTTTATTTCGTGCTGCAAATATTAAAGAGGAAAATATCATTGATTCATATGCCGCTTGAATGGAGGCGAATTATCTCACTACATATTAAAGAGCGTAAAAACACATTTATTGTTTGTATTTTATCATGAAATTGACAGAAGGCTGAGACTTTGTAGTAACAAAGCACAAAGCTGCGATTATTGAGTGGCTTGCGTGCTACAAATAATGAATGGACTTTAAACTTGAAATGTCATTTCCAAACATTTAGCCTATACCGTAAAACAGCTCATGATTCACGTAACATTATTTACTTCAGAAAAATCAACAACAGGGACCAAGTTAAGTTAACCGAGTTGAAGTCCATAACGCTTTGGGGGGGTGACAACATTTTTTGCATATGGGCCCAGGGCTGACTTGCTACGCCACTGCTGGACAGTGTAGACATGTAATGCACTTTATCCCCAGATCATAAGCTTTTAGTCCAATTATCTGTCTTTTCAATCTGACACGGGAGAAAGAACTGGCACAGGCACTATCAGACAGATTACACAAAGGACATTAACACAATGTGATAACTGAGTAACAGGAAGCACAATACAAAGAAAATAGTTTGTGTGGGTGGAGAGTTTCAGGAATGATATGCACTTGAAGAACAGAGAAATATGCAACTTGGATGGCTGTAATTGACTGTAATTGAAACATGATTTGAGTATGTGGGGTTGAAGAAAACCTTGGAAGTTTGTCCTTTTAAGCATCAAGGATTTATCTAAAATTAATTCATGCATAATAGTCTCTTTTGAAGATGCTTCCTTAGAACCATTTACATTTCTGTTATGTTGGTAAAGTTAGTAAAAGACCCAAATTCATATTTTTTTTTTATTTAATGAAATGCCAAATCTTATAATTAATTATTATTAATAAATTTTCTCTTCAGGCCTTGCAGCACGGGTTCTTTGACTTTGAGAATTTTGATGTTGAAGAATATGAACATTATGAGGTATCACCTTTTTATATATTAATATTGATACTGATAATATTCTCATACTCATTCTCACGAGTGATAATATATCAGTGTGATTTTTGTCATTTTGACAGATAACAAATAGAAACATTCCAGTAAACACTGCTAATAGGGATTAGAAATTAAAAGGGGAGACAATTACATTTTAAAGCATCCGTGTGAAAACAAAGTTGGAAAGAGATGTGAGAATGTGGCAAGAGAAAAACAGATTCTTAATGCATTCAGTGAATTACCCATTGAACATATCCCAAATTAAATCAGGAGAGCAGACCACAAATGTGTAGTAATTGTTGTCTTTTTATATATTGTTACAATTTAGGAAAACAGAAAATATTTAGGAGGAAAACAAAGCAGCGGACTGAAAAGAGCTCTTGCCATAGATATTGGAGTTATACCATGCCACACTAAAATACCAATTGTTATCTTATTCTCCTGCTGTCTTAAAATAGAACATGAAGGAAAATGTTGTTTATTCAGTCAAACTGATGGATAAGGATTGTTTGTAGTGCAGCCTTATGATTTGAAATGATTTGTTTTAGTCTTTTGAGTGGAGCTTCCCCAAACCGGAAGTGCTTCCCATAATTTAAAACGCAGGACGTTCGCTAGGAAAAAGGATGCTGTCCTATTGTAAATTCTTAAAAGCAATAAAGCATCTACAAAACTCAACACATGTAACTTCTTTTCATTAGTTGTTAACATGAATGTTTTTGATGAATTCAGATGTTTTAGCATGTCTTCTCACCTTTTGCATTACAAGCGTGTAGAAAATGGTGATTTTAACTGGATTGTGCCAGGAAAACTGTTGGCCTTCATTGGACCTCATCCCAAGAGCAAAATAGAGAACGGTAAGCTGGCACGTTAGATTCAGAGCTAAAAGCTTCTGCCCCAACAAATACTAGATTCTAGTGGTTATTGGATCGATGTTTTGGTAACTGTTCTTCACTTCTGAACTGATGACTGTTTTGGCTCTTTCAGGTTATCCTCTCCACGCTCCAGAAGTGTACTTCTCCTACTTCCGCCAGCACAATGTCACAGATGTTGTGCGACTGAACAAGAAGATTTATGAAGGTCGGCGCTTCACAGATGCCGGGTTTGAACATCACGACTTGTTCTTTGTAGACGGCACCACACCTAGTGATCTCCTCACAAGACGCTTCCTGCACATCTGTGAGAGCGCCAAGGGTGCCGTAGCTGTCCACTGCAAGGGTGAGACACTTTCTAGATTTATGAAGAAACTGCATCTTTTTTTTTTTTTGCATCTGGAGTAAGGTGCACTATTGCATAAATAAAAAGTGGAAAGGAGACTTTGTATGAGCTTGCAATTTTTGTGAAAGTGTAATGCAGGACCCAGACTTTATGTTGCTAGTGAACCTGTATTTAATGCAGTCTGTGTCAAATTTGATGCATTTGATGTCACTTTCAAACCAAGCAGATTTCTGCTGGTCAGTGTGACAAATTTGCGTTACCAACTTAAAACCTTTTTTGCCCTCATGTAAAGCTTATCTAATTCTGATTTAGATTAATGGATTTAATCAGCAAAAATTCAGCAATTAAAATTAATGAATTTATCTTATATCTGTAATATACTGGTCATCGGCTGATTTTTGGCATTTTTAGTTGATTGGTATCAGTCTATATTGCATTTTTATTTGATCATGATTTTAAAGTTTTTACATTTTACCCATCTCCTACCACTCAAAGTACATCTTTAAAAACACTATTAATATTACATCGATACACAATGTAAGGTGATGGCTGAATTAATTTTTACGTTTAAAGTGCTTGATTTTAGTTTTTAGTAGTTTATTTTGTTTCAATTTAATTTTCAACAAAATAGTATAAATATGGTCGATTAACAGCCATAATATGACAACAATCATTGATTATCGGTGCTGACCAGAATTTTAAAATCAGTGCATCCTTATTTATTTTACTTGGTAAGTTACAAGTTTTGTTCTTAGATTTCGACGATGACGGTAAGTCACGCAACCCGTCCATGTTGGATCTGTCTTATTTATCTGGCTGTGACAGATGAATTAATGCCAAAATACTTTGAACAAAATAGTTTAATTGCGTGCATGTATTTCCATGGGGGAGCATTTTCTGATTAAAATAATTTTTTTTAAATATAATATTTTGATTTTTAATTATTATTTTCCCACTTTCTTTTCACAGCTGGCCTTGGCAGGACAGGCACTCTGATAGGCTGCTACCTGATGAAGCATTATCGCTTCACAGCACCTGAGGCCATTGCCTGGACACGAATCTGCAGACCGGGCTCCGTCATTGGACCACAGCAGCACTTTCTCGAACAGTAAGTCCAAAAATTCTACAGACAGATTGAGGCACATAAGGACATAAAATGGTCTAGAGGTCTGTTTAGAAGCGCTTTCTTTCTCTTAAGGAAGCAGCACAGTATGTGGGTGCAAGGTGATCTCCATCGGTCCAAGCAGAAGCAACAGCAGCTGAGGCAAAGCCGACAACAGGAGAGAAACATGGCCCATCTCATATCCAGCATGGACGACATGTCCATCGACAGCACCATTCTGAAGCCACCAAGTGTGGATGAGGTGAGACGTCTGAGGAACTGAATCTACCAATCATATCTGAGTGCACAATACAGTAACACTGTTATTGAAACTGTTTTGTTACACTACAGAATGAGTTCAGAGAAGAGGACATGATTCCAACTCAAGGAGACAAACTACTAGCTCTAAAGGGCCAACGCCACCCCAGACCTACTGCCACAGTGCTTAGGTAGACCTTCAGTTATATTAAATAAAGGATATAATTATCATTAATATGGTCTCAACAGTCTCAGTCGTGACATTAGATCAAAATATTGTGGCAGTTAAAGGTACAATATGTAAGATTTTTGTAATAAAATATCCAAAAACCACTTGCATAGTGTTATATATTTCATGCAGTTGTGTACTTACGTTATCTCAAAAGTTCCCAAGGATTTGTAAATCCAGAGAAATTCCAGTTTTAAATAATGACTTGTCCCTGGTCATTGTCGCCTATCAATGACGCAATATCCGCGCTATCCTCGGTTTCCGCTTATGAATACTACGGCAACACACGTGGAGAAATGCGGAAATGTTAGTTATACCGCATGCAGCGCGCCACTGTTGTGCATTTACATCATTCAATTCAATTCAATTCAAGTTTATTTGTACAGAGCTTTTCACGATACAAATCGTTGCAAAGCAACTTTACAGCAAATTAAGTTTCTACAATATTTAGTGGTAGCTTATCAGTGTTGACTGTCAGTTAATGTACATATGGCAGAAATGTACGGAAAAATCAATTAAAGACGTAATCAAACAGACGATGAACACTATTAACAGCAATTATTAATACATCATCATGGATCACGATTACACTTTAGAAAGTCCGGAAAATCCAAAAAAACGTAGACGTACACCAACTGAGGCAAGAGGGCATTGGGACAAACACAGAAATAAAACTAGAATAAATATCGGCGTGGCGTTTCCAAAATGGAGAGAGCTTCGCAAAAACCTCGGACTGGACAGAGACTCCGCTCTCGCGTGTGTTTTAATAGACAGGTAAGCAAATATATATTATTTATTGTGCAAATAATAGTCATGTACAGGTGATTTAAATAGATATAAATTAAGTTACACTAAGAATTTCCAGAATTTTCCTGTATTATAATTATTTGTGAAAACGACATCTCCCATTCCATGCTCCGTCATTGCGTCATCGAGCTTCGCCTCTGTTATTGTTTTGAAAATGCGACCTCTAGCGAAAAAAATTACATATTGTACCTTTAAACAAAACGTTTTGGGTCAATATACAAAAGCATTGCCTTGATAATGTTTTGCTTTCTATTTGCTACCTTTGGCAGGGAATTAATATGTTTTCAAAAAACACCAAAAATCCATGCGTTTAATTTTCTTATACTTGGTTTGAAGATGATGTAAGATGTGACAAATTTGTAGGAAGAAATAGTTATATGATATGAAAAGTTATAGGATAAATAAATACTATAAAAGTAATTTTATTTATTGTTTGTTGATTTTAAATACAAAACTTGGTAAATGATTTATGTGTCAGTACTTCTTAAACATTTCCAGCACATTTTAACAATACCGTGATAATACTGATAACCATGATAATTTTGGTCACTATAATCGTGATAAGATATTTTCATACTATTACATCTCTACCCCAGGTATACATAGAGGGAAGAATCATGAAGTCAAACCGAGTTACTGTCAAGTTAATATTGACAGTAGATTTACCAATTTATTGACAGTAAATCTACCATTTTAGATTTACCATTATTTTGAGCTTTATATAGATTTTGACCTGGAGGTCATTGCTCCAGTGGACCAGTGGTACTCTCAGTTCATTGTGACGTCATGCATGATTCATGGTGCTTCTCATTTCTGAAATTGTGCATACACATTTCTGGGTCACGGGCTGGATGATAGGGAAGCAAGAACATGATTAAGCATCAGTTACAGCATTGAGAATCACTCGCCATTGAAATCCAGTCCCACTTAGAACCCAAAGATAACCTGCTCAGGAACCTAAAGCATCATCATGATATCTTTCCTTTCTGATTATCTGATCTCCTCATCCACTATCAGTGTGCAGCATCCACTTGGATGTTGCGACGGCAGCCATAGTGTGCCAGAACGCCCACCATACACCAGCTAATTGGTGGAGAGGAGACAGTGATGAAGCCAATCAGTAGATATGGGGATGATTAGACCAAAGACATCCTGGGATTTTTAATGACCACAGAGAGTCAGGACCTCAGTTTAACATCTCATCCAAAGGATGGTGCTTGTTGACAGTATAGTGCCCCAATCACTATCCGGGGGTGCTAGGACCCACACAGACCACAGGGTGAGCACCCCCTGCTGGCCTCACTAGCACCTCTTCCAGCAGCAACCTAGATTTCCCAGGAGGTCTCCCATCCAGGTACAAACCAGGCTCAATCCTGCTTAGCTTCAGTGGGTGACCAGTCTTGGGCTACAGGGTGATATGGCTGCCGGCAATCTGCTAGCAATTACACCAATCACTATTGGCATTCTTTGCATTTGTAGCCAATGAGCTTGCTGCTCAACATTTTAATAGTTTGGTTCAGTGTTTGTAGTATCAGCAGCCCTCCATTGTATTTGTAGTCAAGTACCAAATAAAGTACCCATGAACAATTCTTTCAGTCAATAAAATCACTTTGGGGTCTAAGAGGGACTAAGTTTTGCACAACAGTGGCAGTGACCTGTACCAAGTGCAATGTTATTACACAAAAGCATTGCAGTTTTGAACATCATTACTCATATTGAAGAAACCGCACTGAAAAGAAACAAAAAAGCTTCCATCCATGAGGACATTCTGGAGGACAAGTGTAAATAAATTATAATCTTTTAATAAACTTGCTCTGCTATTTGTCTTTTTTTTTTTGGCAGTGGGATAAACCCAGCTCCAAGCATCATTTCCCCTCCCAAGTCTTCCAAAGCTCCTCTCTTCATCTCCTCTTCCACTGCACCACGGAGACTAACAAGAAGCCCTTCCTCCTCTGCCGGCAATCTAAAAAGGTACATTAATGTTACACTGTCTGAGTGATTTGTTTTAATCCCAGATCCTATTTACACACCCAGACATTGCTAACCCCGCTTTATGCGGCCCACACAGCTTCAGTCCCCGTTTAGCCCATTCCCTCAGCAACCTTTACGATGACAACAACTTCAATGACGATGACAACAGCACACCTCCTTCCTCCTTCGCACCCTCCCCATCTCCTGCTCTAACCACATCTGGCTTCAGCTTTGGGTACACCTCTACTGAGCCCCGACTTCCTCCCTCACATTTAAACTTCAATCAAGAGGCCAACACCAACCTCAACAGCCTTACTGGCGCTAATACGGTTAGCGCTAATCGCACAGTCAGGCCTATGAACAGAACCGGCTATAGTCTGTTCTCCAGCGGTCCGCCGAACCCCCGTAGAGGTCCGTTGCGAGGTGGACTAAGCAGGTTTCCAGGGCACTACCTCAGCAGATCCATTCCAGTGAGTGACCATCTGGCTGCCTTTGTCGTCTGTGTGGCGCTTGATTTTCACTCACTATTTCTGCTGTTTTACTAACTTTCCTTCACTTTGTGTTTTTCCTCCAGTTTTTTTCTGGCCTCACTTACTGTTTCTGTGCTATAGTATAATTGTGATCTTTATGTGAGATTTTTATAATCAGTGGTTTTTCATAATTTAAAAAGAACAGCTCATGTACCGCTACCGCTATATCATTCCAAACATGATTGTGTTTTCTTCCTTGGAACAAAAAGTTGATGTAAATACAAATAAAATCTGAGCTGTATCAGAAGCACAAATTTATAGCAAATAATAACAAATTTTGGGGTGGTCCTCACATAAGATGTAAAACTGAGTAAAGGTGTGGTAATTTACAGTTATTCTGCGAATTTTGATCATTCAAGTCGTTTCAATAGGAATCGAGGTGATTGTGTATTTTTTGCGAGGGCAGATTTTCATGTGAATTCATGGCATTGACCGACAAAAAGATGCTTCGTTTGAAAGTGACTTCTGTGTGAGCTGTGCTTCATCTGCTACACTATTGACAGATTGACAGCACTTTTTGCCAGCAAAAGTTTGCCTCAATTTCGTTAATGTGACCGCACCTCAAGTTATGACAGTATTTTCATTTTTTAGAGTACATTTACACAACATTTGTTTTTTCATTGGGTCAGTTAGAGGGTGAATAAAGGCCTCCTGTTGCAAATTGATGTGTTTTTGTAAGAAAAATATCCATGTTTAAAATTGTATAAACAGTAATCTCTAGCTTTCTCTAACTAACGTTCGCCCATTCACAATAGAATGTAGTTCCGTATTGTATTCCATCCAGTCCAAGAATAACAAATATGTTTGAAGTTCCCAATTATAAAACATTTTCATTTGTCATGTGTCTCCTAGTGATAAGGAATGATCTGAAAGTATTTTAGTGTGTGAACCTCAGTTGTTAAGTGTCTGATGCCCAGTGTTCCTCTGTAACCATTTTCTAAGTTTGCAAATGTATGATGCATAAGCCTGGTTTCACAGACAGCGCATAGATTAAGCCAGGATTAGGCTTTAGTTAAATTAGGACATTTCAATCATGACAACTCTCGGAAGATTTTAGCATGGTGGTGGATATGACAATGTTAATGTATTTGGTCTTGGCGGAACAGATCTGCTACGCTGCTGCTGAATTGCTGCTGCTGTTGGTTATTGCTGTAGTTGTAGATTATTGCTGCTGCTGCAAGCAAGTACAGGAACTTGCTACTGCCAATGCATACGGCGATACGGTGCCGTGAGTATTTAAGACATATTGCTGCTGCACAAATAGCATATAAAATAACCTGTAGCAGATCTATACAGGTGGAGCTGGGGAAGGTGGAGGGTTTCATAGAAACTCTGAAAGCGCGCTGCAGGAATCTCAAGTGAATGCTAGACACCCATATAAATGCAAGGCAGTAAGCTCATTGGCTGCATATGCAGCATGAACCAATCAGCTTGTGCCAAGTCGTTTAACTCTCTGAATATCATCAGTTACGTTAACAACCCCTCGCCTGAGCCATCTAGAGTTTCATGACTGAACTATATATTTAAGTAGTACCATAGAAGATACATTACTGGTGTGCATCTTGATGCAAATCATTGGCAGTAATGTATTTTAAGATATATGAGTGCAGACTGCTTTTAGTTAAAACAGCTCAAACATGCATTTTAGGACTAGGCTTAAGCCTCGTCTGTAAAACGGGTTTAGTGTATTCCATAGTTTAGTATACTTTGCTTGCACACATCCTTTCATATCAGTTTATTAATTTAATTCTCTCTTTCTCTCCACAGTCCCTTCAGTCTGAATATGCTCAGTACTAAGGCTATGATTATACACTGATGGCCATCGCAACTGACCATTCGACCATGGACAAATCATTCCTAAAAGCTGATAAACCATTCAAAAAAGTCACATTGGGCTTAAAGTGTTTATAATAACATATTTATAGTGTTTTAATTGAGAACATTTCTGTAAGTCTGATGTATTATTCACAAATGTATTCAGTAATTTTTCTACATCCAAAATGGAATGTAACTGCTGGCATTTGTTTGTGACTAATTTTACAGCATTGTCTCACTTTTTTTTTTTTTTAAGAAAGTCCCAATTCGAATGAAAATCTTAGCAGTTGTGCATGAGTGTGTGACAGTATGGGTGTTTACAAGAAATATGCATGTATGTATGATCACATGATGCTGATTCAATTATGTTTAGTAATATGATTGTATCGAAATCATGATTTTTAAAACATTTTGCACAGATAGTTGTAATTTTAACTGGAATGTCGGCGCCGATGGCCTCGACTTCGCTTCCTGTCGACCTACTGTCCTATCTAAATAAAAGGCATGAAATGCCAAAAAGAAATCTTTAAAAAAAATTTAACATTTTTTTTAACTGGAATGTACTTTAGGTGGAATATACTTTAGATGCATTAAACCACTGTCCTTACACAGATCTTTTAAAGACTGTGACATGGTGATTTGTGATGTACAAAAGACTTGTTTGAAAAAGATACACTCAAAACAGTAAATTAGTGCAAAATAATCAAGTACCATTTAATTATATTCACAAATTGGAGGATATGAGGAAAATGTGAGCAGGTGTGGCTTGGCGTCTGATGAGTGAGCCAAATGGATAATGTTTGTTTGGAGAAACAGAAAGTAAAAAGGAAAAGGCGGGATGGTTGATCAGTATCTTGGTTAGAAAACAGCCGTGGTGGGAATATCCAACAACATTATCGTGTCATTTCTCAATTCGTATGCTGAATGAGTGAAACACAACGTCAGCAAAATGTGTGGAGTGAAATGCATCACTTTTGCGCTGTGGATTAATATTCTTAGTGTAATAACAGGTAAGAAGACCTCACACAGCTGTTTAATCAATTTGAACCTTCCACATTTCATTATTTTGACAGTACACTTTTTTTTTTCATAGGAGAAAACAATTTTATACTGGAATTAACTCCGTTAAATCCAGTGATTCATGTTGGTGAGGATTTGGAGCTGACCTGTCGAGTGAATGATTGTCCGGATAATGTGACCTTCGTCTGGAAAGCAGCACTGGATACATTTCTCGGTGGAGAGGTTAAAAATGAGCAGAATGTTTCCCGCCTGCTGATCAGGAACATCTCTGTCAAACACAGTGATACAGTTGTGTGCAAAGCTGCTTGTCAGCAAGATCGACGAGAGAATTTCAAAGATACAAATGTTCTGTAAGTAATATTTCAGCTGTACTGCTAATTAGACAGTTACTAATTTATGGATATAGCAGGCTGTTTTAACATTAATAAGTACTTTTAAACATCACTAGCATTTATTTATCCACTAACCTACTGCTGTACTGACTAGCTATGCTGCTTGGTACATAAATATTCCAATAATGTATCGTTTTTTTGTTACTAGTATCTACCTATTCCAGTGTTGCTTTTAATTACTTTTTTAAATTACTATTCAATTAATTATTTTTCAGTTAATAGTTAACAATTGCAGTCCTTACAAATAGCAGTTTTATACCAGTTGCTGATTTACTTTTTTTGAGTGTAATGACTTATGACTATTGTAAATGGATACTCCACCCAAAAATGAAAATTCTTTCATCATTTCCCTGTCTGCATGCCGTCCCAGATGTACAGTTGTGCTCAAAATTAATCATACCCTTGGTAAATTATAATCAAAGCAATCTGTGAAATTAAATCTGCATCGTTAATCCTTTTGATATTTTATTTTCAAAATTAACAAAAATCTGACCTTTCATTGGGGAATAGGAATTTAAAGTGGGTGGGTCTCATTATGAAATAAATGTTTTTTCTCTAATACACATTGGCCACAATTAATCATACCCTTTTATTAAATACCTTTTGCAACCTCCTCTAGCCAAGATAACAGCTCTGAGTCTCTCATGCCTGAAGAGTTTGGAGAACATCTGACAAGAGATCAAGAGACCATTCCTTTATACAGAATCACTCCAGACCCTTCAGATTTCCAGATCCATGTTGGTGCTTCTTCTCTTCAATTCACCCCATTCATTTTCTATAGGGTTCAGGTTGGAGGACTGGGACGGCCATGGCAGAAGCTTGGTTTTGTGCTCAGTGACCCATTTTTGTTGTGATTTCTAGCAGGGACAGTCAGGTTTAGATTTTTTTTTTATCTGTTGGTATTTGATAGAATCCATGATCTATCTGAACAAGATATTCAGGATCTCAAAAATAGGCCCACAACATTTAAGATCCAGCAGTATATTTCATTGTACACATGGGGTACTTTTTATCGCTGTTTGCACCAAACCCATTTTGAGTGTTTGCTGCTAAAAAACTCATTTTTTAGTTTCATCTGACCATAATACCCAGTCCTGTTTGAAGTTCCAGTTGAAGTTTTTTTTTTTATACTTTCTGGCCCAAAAACTATTTTTTGCAATTCTCCAGCTGTGATCCTTGGAGAGTCTTTGGCCATTCAACCTCTCCTCCTCACCATGCATTAGGACGATATAGACACAAGACCTCTTCCAGGCAGATCTGTAACATTTTCTGTTTATTGGAAATTCTTAATTATTGCCCTGATGGTGGAAAGGGGAATTTTCAATGTTTCAGATATTTTCTTACAGCCACTTTCTAATTTGTGAAGTTCAGTAATCTTTTGCTCCACATCAGAATTATATTCTTTGGTTTTACTCATTGTGATGAATGACTAAGGGAATTTGGCCTTTGTTTTCCCTCATATTTATATTCCTGGATAATTTCATGTTCCTAGTCGCCCTGGTGTGATAAAAAAAAAAATGCAAATATTAATGGGAATATACATATAAAGATATATTTTACTTATAAGGATTTCTAGGGCTACAAATAATTGTAGTCATTGTGTATTAGAGAAAAAAAATATAAACCTTCAGTTAAAGGTTAAGATTTTTGAATGAAAGATCAAATGGATAAACAATGCAGATTTATTTTCAAAGCCTTCTTTGATCGTATTTACCAAGGGTATGAATAATTGAGCACAACTGTATGACTTTCTAATGTAGAACACAAATGGAGATTTTTATGAAAACAATCCAAAAATCAAAGGTTTTGGTGAAACTCGCACGATAAGTGACAGTACTCTGTGCTTCCACATGACTTCTCATGCAAGTTTCACAACACACGTACAGAGTCTGCTAATGCTCATGTCAAGCGAATGCACATTTGACAGCTGGCTGAAAGTAAAAGTTTTAAATATTAGTATTTTTCTCTCACACACTTATTGTTTTGCTTCAGAAGACATTTATTCATCAATTAGGGTATATGGATTATTATGTTAATTTTGCATGGTTTTTGAAGCGTCAATGCACGGTTACTTCCTGGTTTTATATAAGCCAGCTCAGTCATTTCCGGTCAACTGTCAAAATCAGTTGCGCTATAAGGGGAGCACCCTTTGCTCGGTTTCTCTTCACAATCTGAAGAAAAATTTGATTTGTCAAAGAAGACCAAACGTCCACATGTACCGTTTCAGGAATAACAAACACGAGTGTAAATAATTCTGCGAATGAATCTACTAAATTGTCATTGCTGTGATTGACACCGATAACTGTAGCGATGGAAGAAACAAAACATCGGACAAACCGATGTCAAAATAGAGCTTTGCATTAAAGGTGCAATAGGTGATTGTCTTCAGAAACATTTTTTGTTATGCTGGTTGAAAGTCATCTCCAGCATTTTTGGCGCTTTTCCACTGCATGGTATGGCACGGTACGGCTCGGTACGGTTCACTTTTGGGGGGTTTTCCACTGGGTACAGTACTTGGTACTTTTTTTAGTACCACTTCGGTTGGGGTTCCAAGCAAACCGTACCGTTACCAAATCGTGACGTGTAAACTCTGCTGATCACGGATTGGCCGGAGAGAATCGTCACTACCTGCGTCAATGAACTTGTGACACAAACACAAAAGAACCGCTAGATTTAAATCAGCACAGCCAGCGAAGGATCGAATGCAACTGTTTTGAACGAGCGCACCTTTTTTTAACAACCAAAAAGTGGCTGTTCCTCCTGTTGAGGAAGTACAGACGTTGCTCTCGTTGATAGCAGAGGAGCGGATCCAGTGAGAGCTTGATGGGGCGATGCGGAATGAAAAAGTTTTTTAGGAGTCGCGGCAGTAGAGGCGGCGCAACTATAATGACATGTGAATAATCCCGCCCACTCTAAAGCGATACTAAACTGCAGTGGAAACGCAAACCGAGCCGAGCTGGGCCATACCGTACTGAGCCGTACCGAGCCGAGTCGTACCACGCAGTGGAAAAGCGCCATTTGAATGACCTGTAAGCGTTCCGTTTGGGACTTAGATATACCAAAATAGAGGAAATTGCAATAATCCAGGCGAGAGGTAATAAGAGCATGGATAGCAATCTCCAAGGAGCACTTAGGAAGAAAGGATTTGATTTTCGATAGAGAACAAAGAAAGAAAAAGCTGGACCCAATGACCATGCTAATCTGCTTGTCAAAGCTGAGGCAACTATCTACATCACACCTAGATTCCGTACTTGGGGCGAGATGAATTGATTTAAAGATTCAAGGTCAAGGTGATTTCTTGGCCTGAATTCTGAGGGGTCAAAAACAATGACTTCTGTTTTCAGAAAAAGAAAATTCTTGGCAAGCCAAGCTTTCACATCCTCAAGACATGCTGTTAGGTTGCCTAGAGCACTCTTATTTTTCCTAGACACAGGCATATAGATTTGCATATCATTGGCATAGCAATTAAATGAAACATTATGTTTCCTAAAAATGGAACCCAAAGGGAGAAGATAGAGAGAAAAAAGGACAGGAGCTAAAACAGAGCCTTGAGGCACACCACAGGATAGACTGCGAAGAGAAGAAGAGAAACGTCTATTTTTACAGAGAAATGTCTATTGGATAGAAAAGATTTGAACCAACTTAAAATAGCCCCCCCTAGCCCAACGCAACACTCCAGCCGAGAGATAAGGATCGCATGATCGACTCGTATCAAAAGCAGAGGACAGGTCTAACATTACTAAAATGACAGAGTCCCCCGAATCTGTTGCCTTATAAATATCATTAAGAACTCTTACAAGAGCGGTTTCTGTGCTGTGCAGTGATATAAACCCAGACTGAAACTTCTCAAGAATATGATTGTCAGCCAGGAAGTTCAGCTGTGTAAAAACACAATTTTTTTGGAAATAAATGGCAAAATGGAGATCGGACAGAAATTTGATGAAATAGAGGCATCAAGTGAGGATTTCTTTAGTACAGGTGTAAGCGAGGCAATTTTCAAACTAGAAAGTACAGCTCCTTCAAGCAAAGATTTGTTAAATAGC